CTGAGCTGCCCCCCTCTGTCACCCCCGAAGCTCCACGAGCTGCCCCAAGACCCCGATTTGCCGTCGAGCCCCACTGACTCCCCCCAGATTCCCCCCCGTGCAGGATACGGAGCCGGCGTCGCCGAGCACCTGCAGCACGAGGGTGACGCCGGTGCGGGGGTGCAGGGCGCCCAGCAGCGCCGTGCGGCACACGCGGCGCAGCAGCTGCTCCCGGCTGCGCTCCAGCACCCCTGGGTGCGTGGGGGCATCAGGGCCGCCCCACGGCCCCCCCCACAGACCCCACAACTGCCCCGGGCGTCCCCCCGCGCGCTCCACAGCCCACACAGCTGCCCTATAGGCCCCATAACAGCCCCACGGGCCCCCCACAGGTTCCAGAAACCCCCAAACTGCCCCTCAGGTCCTCCCAGACCCCCCCCAATGACCCCAACAACTGCCCTCCAGGCCCCATTACCGCCCTGCAGGCCCCATAACTGCCCCATGGGCCCCCAAAACCCCCAAAGCCACCCCCCGGGCCCCAGAACTGCTCCCCACGAGGCTCCCCAGCGACACCGGGCCCCACAGGTGTCCAGCGGGAGCCACAACGGGCCCCACAACTGCCCCACGGGCCCCACAACTGCCCCACGGGCGCCACAACGGGCCCCACGGGCGCCACAACGGGCCCCACGGGCGCCACAACGGGCCCCACGGGCCCCACAACAGGCCCCACAACTGCCCCACGGGCGCCACAACGGGCCCCACAACTGCCCCACGGGCGCCACAACAGGCGCCACAACTGCCCCACGGGCGCCACAACTGCCCCACGGGCCCCACAACTGCCCCACGGCCCCCCCCCGTGGGCCCCACCGCCCAACGCGGACCCCCGGCGCCCCCCCCACCTGGCAGCCCCACCTTGGGGCGCAGCAGGACCTCGAGCGCCGCCCGGTCCGGCAGCTCCCGGCTGCCCTTCACCTCGCCGGGGCCGTAGAGCCCGGCCAGCACCGACGTGTCCCCTGCGGGCCGCGGCGGCACCGGGTGAGCGCCGGGAGGGCCCGGCCCCGCCGGAGGGCCCCGCCGCGGCCCCGCCGCCCGCCCCGCACCCTGCACGAAGGCGGCGGAGCCGTCGGGCCGCGAGAGCAGCCCCTGCTCGCACGAGAACGGCCGCAGGCTGCAGCCGCC